ATATATATATATATATATATATATATATATATATATATATATATGGATTGCAATATATAATTATATTCAGTTATTATATTACAGTCACTAATTCCATTTAAAAAAATGTTCTCAGGCCGGGCAGTTGGATAGAGGGTATATATAAGTCCCATCTGTGTGTTTAGTTAAGAACTAACCTCTAAAAAAATGTCCTTCTTGTAACTCTTTCCCAACACTGGTCAAATTAGTCACATGTTCCCTAAATCTAGCTTACCTCTGACAATGAGTTCTCCAAAGTTGGAGACGGCGGCGCCCCTGGGGGACAGAGTGATGCAGCGGTACAGGTCCTGCTCCCCACGCTGTGCCTCGACATGGAAAGACGCCATCAGCCGCTTGTGGCTCAACCTCGACAGCAGGGATGTGTCCAGCACCACGCTGTTTCTCCGCTGACAGACGCACACACGGAGAGAAGGCAGCAAATGAGCAACCGCACATGTTTACCTGAAGTCTATTCAAGTGATTAAAAATGGGCAGCAGGCTGAGACAAAGACAAAGGAGGGTTGGAATTAGCTGCAAGCGAGGGCAAGATAACAAATGCTTGATAAATGTCACCGGTAACAATAGTGTTTACACTCGTGAGGCCGCTGACACAGGCCTCCTGGGTTGCTGTTCCCAACACGGGGGCTCGAGCTGACAGCTCCTCATCTTTGCCATACTAATGTGTCAGCGCTTCAGGCACACTGGCAATTGGCTCAACCAGTGGAACAACACTCGCAATGAGCTGTTTCAGGTGCGAGCTACAATATATATATGCAGCTCCTTCACAGAATAAGCAGATTCTTATGTAAACTGTCGCCTGCTCTTGTTTTATTTTTTCTTCAAGTAAGTGGGTTTGACATCTGTATGTTTTTAATTGGTTTAGGAGGATAGGGGGAAAATGCCGTGCTATAAGAAAATGTGAAATTGCATGTAGAGTGGCTGGGTGCTACTGCCTAAAGCTACAGATTAGAACGCGTTTTAACTTTAGTATCAATATAATCTGTCTCTTCTTTTGGAAACTTTATGTTTTTTCTTTTTTTATGTTTGCTACTTTTCAGTTCGATAGACTCTTCAAAGTGCAGCATCCACATTTTATGTTTTTCACATGGGTCACCTAAAAACTATGCAACATTAAAATCCACCTGCAGGCTTTTAAAACAAATAAATGCTTCCATTAGCCAAGTCTGCATCACATTGTTAGCAAGAGTTGTTGCAATAAAGAACTCAGGTTTGGACTCGTTGCTGTTTAAAATGTACTGTACGTATATAGCGTTTGAGACAGCCGTCTGCAGTCTGGGCCAGAGGACAGCTGAGGAAATATGATGCTAATTGTTTAAGAAACATTATGCTAACTATTTGTTTGGACTACCTTAATGGAAAACAGAGTGGAGGTGAGCAGCTACAGACTGGTCCAGAGAGGACCTCCCCCGAACCAGGAGATCAAAAGGAAAGCAGCAATTAGCAGACTCAGTGCTGATGATCAAACGCGCCCCGAACAACAAATGGAGGAACAGAAGGCAGTAATGGGTTGTGAAATATCTCTATTTTCTGCTGTTATCAGGTTTACTTTTTTTCTTCTTCTTTTAATGAGAAAAGTAGGGAGGAGCTGAAGAGAGTGTTGACTTACGAAGAGAAGTTCACTGCAGCATACTGTCAAATTACAAAAGACAAGCCTTGCATTGTTGGTTTGCATTTTCTTGTGTGTGTGTTTGTGTAGCTCAGTCAACAAAGTCGCAAACTCTGAAACTGATAAAAAAAAAATAAAGTCTTTTTCACATGCCGATGATCTTCAAAGGCTTCAATTCAGAGATGAGAGAGGGGTGTGCGGAATGAAATGGGGTGGAAACACAAGGGATGGATCACCACGTGAACTGAGATCTCATTTGCAAGGCGCCTTCTCCCTGCTGCCATCATTTCAAAAGCACTTCGATGTGCATGCTTCAAGGCCAGAGGGGAAGAGTGGAGGCATTCAGGGATGGATTTCTGAAGACTAATATTAGCTCATATTGAAACTGGGAGAATTGAAACTATCTTCGGTTTGTGCATGAGAGAAACGACTTTAGGGGCTTTAGTAAACTAAATGCCACCACAATCAAAAAGCTGCAAAAGCAGAGGCGCAAACTTAATAATCATCCGAATCCTCAGATGACTCATTTCCCTGCAACACAACCATTAAAAGATAAACTCAGAGTCACACACTTGCTACATTATTCACAAAATTACGATATTATCACTGGTGTTATGCCGATGGTTAAGATAATGGCTCCCATTCCCTTTAACAACTACCACTGTAAACAGTTCATCTAAAGGTCAGAGGGGGTGACTTCAACTCTTTGCCATCAGGCAATTCAATTGAGTGCGATATTAATACAGATTCACTGTTGTACTTCCATTACGTTGGGGGACTTGTGGAGGACACATTTTAAAATAGAATAAAAATTGATGCAGCAGGAGCTGAGATTTCATCACTTGTAGTACGTTTTGTGGTCTAGTTCCACAGCAGCGTACCACACACCCATAATGTAACTCTTTTAATAGAAACCCTCCAAGCCGACAGCTTTCAAACTCAAAAACCCCCAGCTTGTGATGCAGGCGTTTAATTAAAATGCTGTTGTGGCCAAGATATGTAAGATATGTCACTTCAATAATTATTTCAGAGCTGCTGAAACTCCCTCGGAGCGTCTAGACAGGATTCAATCCAAATGTAGTGCACATTTTAACCATATTTCCAGAAAACGAATGCATGTTTCCGGTATGTGCATATTAGGAGTTGGTTCATTGAGATGGGGCTAGTTCTCCTGTCGGGTGCCATTAAATCAGTGCAGAAGAAGAAGCCGTCCCCAGATGACATCATTAAAAGAGCGCCAAGTCAAACCTCATCGTTTAAGTCTTCATGTATGTCATAATTCATCCACTAGGTGTGTATTCCATTTCAATCTCACATTAAAGATGATGAAGTGTAGAAAAGTCGGCATGTCTCCTTTAAGTGTTGATGTTGGATCTTTAGGGGGTCAGTGAGCAACACAACCCTCAGCTTGGCTATAATTGACTTTTCTTTAAAAGGGTTTGGTGTGCTCAGGTGTAGTTAAGTAACTAAGAAAAATGGCAATGCACAATTTAAATGATGACAGTTAGCCGTAAACTCCACTGTATCGTCTTTGTTAGCAGCTTGGATATCATGTTTATCCCGATACATGGTGCTCTAGGTGCCAGTAAGGTCTCTATATTCTCTTCACTGGTTTAGACTGAGCTCATGTAAACAGCAGCCTGAATGAGACTTAAACGGGAGCCGTGCATGCAAACTACTGTAAGCTGTTCTGTATAAGACTTTCAACTAAATGCCAAACAAGTCTTTCCCTTTATCCTTTGTGTTGGCTCCTCTTCCTACACTCTCCCATCCCATTCTATTATCCAGGTGCTGAGGTGTTTTGGTTTGACTGTTTCAGCAATGATAATAAGAAAAACACAGACACCCACACTTCACATACAGTATCTTGTTCTCACCTCCAGGAGGAAGGGCTCAATCTCAGAAACTTTGCCCGTGGCGACACACTGGAATGAGGCATTCTGCCCGGCATTCACCTCCACGTCACCCAGCCGAGAGAAATGAGGCACCTTGTCTGTGGAAGGAGGACACACACAGACACACAGACACACAGTGATGAAAGTGGCACATCTGGAGCTCAGCATCACTGTCTAAATATATCAAACACATTAAATGTGATTTATTCGGAGCCTGTACAATGACTACACACCCAGGCCCGGATACAACCACACGGACATGAATAAGATATAGAATACATATAGCAGAGTCGTGTATAATGAACTAACTGTATAACCATACCCAAAAATATTCTGCTAGATATTTAATATTCAACAAATGTACTGTATCGATTTGAAAGTATCAACTAAAGCTGTTTTTTGGAGCCAAGTAGAATAATCTTACCCCCATTGGCAGAGGTTTCCACTTATATAAAGAAAATACAGATCATAAGGCTGCATATGAGACAAAATAACTTATCAAGACAGACAGTTTTTGAAGATTACACCCACCCCAGCCAGACAAACGCAGACGTATAGACATTCCCCATTCGGTTTGACAGAGACACAGTTGCCTACGATCACAGAGACAATGTTTTTCTGCAGCATCAAATGCTGTTCTCATTTACACATTTATTAGGATTCTTCTGTATCTAGAGTCTGAATTACATTATTATTTAAAGTCCTATCAAGAACACAAGTATGTCCTTATTTTGTGTTTCTGTGGCTCCTGAATTATTACTCAAAAATCAAATGTCAAAAAAATATGAAACAGTAAAAACTGAGACTCAAACGAAGGCTGATTTAACCAGGCGATTAACTGAACATGCTTATTAAAGACATGCATAAGGAATGCGTCCGTTGAAACGCATGTGCATTGTGTTTATCAAATGACATACCCCGCAGTTAGTTAGTACACCCGTCTCTGCCAGTATACACAAACAGCTTTACATTTGTTTACTGTAATGTGTGAAACACCATATGGCCGCACAGAGCAGTAATAAATCCACAGTGTCGTCATTTAATATAGAGCAACATATTTTCAGCTCATTTCTTTAAGGGATCCTGTGGAGTTCTCTGAAATACATTTAGTTTTTTTTCCCCCCCTTGAGATTAACAAACCGGTTAATTGCATTTCCTTCCTCATAACATATTGACAAATATGATGTTGTGGAATATATTTTGTACATTGTTACGTTCATTTTTTCTTAGCTAGCGGTCTTCCTTGCCTTTTGTTGGCACATTGCTACCTATTGGAGCATTACCACCACCAACATGCCAATCAGTGGAATAGCATGAAAAAGTCCAAACGAATACGTGCCACTTATGCTGGTCCATGCTAGTAGAACATGAGATATCAACAAAACTGGGGCCTTCTCATCGAAACATTGCCCCGCAGTTCCTCGAGTCATTTTCAGCTCTGTTCGGATCAATAAGAAAACCGCAGAGCACACGTATGATATACTGTATATATACAGTATGCGTCTCCGTCATTTCTAGTAATCAGTCTGTGATAATAATTTGAGTCACTGCAATGCAGACAAAAACGCCACACTGCTCCTGAGGAACGCCAGTGATTGATTTGAGTTGTTTTGATTCCGCTCCCCAAAAAGTCAATAATGTCTGTAAGCAATTATGCTTCAAAATGTGAAGATTACAGATTTTATTTTAAAAAGCAGACATTTTGACTTTGCATACTAAGAAAAGCACAACTGTCGCTATCTATTAACATCAAGGATGACCCAGACTGCCACGACCACAATACTATCACCCCGAATCTGAAGCAGCGGAATTAATTTCAACCATCATTCATTTTATTATTCACCTGAGCTTTTCCAACAGTGACTGTGTCAAAATGTCTTGGCTTACCGCTGAGAATGATTTAAAGCATCAGATGTCTGCTTGAGAAGAAGCGCTGCCCTTTTCTCATTACCGTGCACCTATTGTGAAGGGTGTACTTTGCAAATTCACTAATGCCTTACTTGGCCATATGTCAAGTTCCAAAATCCATTACATTAGATAAAAAGTATTGTGGTCTTCACTGTATCTAACAATTATCTTTCGAATATTAGCATTTCTAGAAGCAAATCTAACCTTCAAACATTTGCATTCATTCAAAAGTTGGCACGAAGTAAATCATTAACAACACACCCACGTACCTACAAACAAAAAATGGTTCTCTCACTCTTTTCACACGAGACAAAAGTTTATAAGAGTCGATATAAACTACTTTCATAATGTGTTTGGAGCACAGCTGACAATAATTATATTTTGTGCCAATATAAAATAGAACTGAAGTTCTAAAATAGAACTGAAGTTCTATTTTAAGCAGTCCCTGTTTCTTAACACAATTAATGTATGTTTGGCAGATACATGTCTAAACCAGCATTAGCCAGTATGACTAAAAAAAGAAATTACCTTTATTTTAACGCTATATGAACAGATCTGAAAAATTACTACCAACATTACAGTTCTAGACAAATGGTAACGATTGGGATACAGGTTATAGTCCCACAGTTAACGCTGGTGTTTGAGGGTTCAAATTTAAACAAATAACCTCAGCTGGCTAACACAATTTATTTCTAACACTAGCAGACAGCAAGAGATGTTTTGCTATCAAGAATAATGCCTGCTTCCGACACAATATGAACACGATGGTCAGTACCGGGTCAGCACCTATACTTTGATATTTTTTTCACCAAATTTAGCTAAAAAAATTTAGCTAGCTTCATAATAACTACTGAATATTGGATTTCTAGCTTACTTACCTTTCCACTGTCAATAATTCAGAAGCAAGTACTGTGAAAATGTTGCATCTCTGTGACATCTGTTAAAGTCTATTTTAGAAATTAAACAAGTGCATCTTACTCAACTGGAGTCATATAAACCTGCTGTTTTCATGTTGATGGTTATTCTCTGCAGCTCCACGGAAAAAAAGAACACGCTGAACACAGATTTAGGATGAAATAGATTCTCTAATGTGACGGGTGGGAAGTTACAGTAACACAGGCTCTGTTTATAATAACCTTTATATTAGACACGAACAACAATGACTGATACTTTTGCTGTGGTGTGACATGTTCTGGGCAAACTGTTTCTACTGGACACCAATGTGATGGACAAAATATAATTCAGACGGAGAGGCTGGCGCTATTCACACAAGACCCACTTTTATCTTTGGTTTCCACAGTAACCAAAAGCAACATCTGGCTGAGGATGGGACGATAGAAATTGCATCTCCCATTTGACCTATTGCCTCATTTTCTCTTTCCTCTCCGCAGCCCTTTTCATGCTCTAGTCCGCCAATAAGCAATGAGAGAGGGAAACAAATTTCCTCAGGCAGCATATCAAACAACACAATTTCCCACGTATAAACCTCGTACGTTTTACAAACTCTGCAGACTAGAATTAAAGCTGAAGTGAAGAGTGAACTGTAAAACTGAACTACAGCAAAGTATACACCCTGGCCTGTAGAGAATAGCCGTGGTGCCAGTCAGAGTATTCCGTCTGGAGAAAACAAGCATAAACTCAGTCATCTTTTTAGACAAGCGTTCACAGACCCAATTATAGGAGGAGTCATTTGAGGACGAGGCAGTTGCATTAATAGTTCCTGAGAAAATGTAATTTAAAATCCAAAAGCCCAGTAGTGTGGATGTGTGACCTTAATTAATACAGTTAAACATAAATGCGACCAAGGTAATGTGATTCTCAAATGCATTGCGACTGTCTGAGATGTTGGTTCTCCAGATTCGCAATGCTGCCTTGTATTCTTGATGCAGGAGAGATTGGTCCTGACTGAAACGCGTGTTTAGAATAAAGACGCGGACTCCAGAGGAAAACAACACGAATGTTGAGTAGCAGTTGCCTTTGACTTGAATCTTTCCAAAGGGGGAGAATACCATTATTCTTGCTGCCTGTGGGGAAATTTATGCCAGCTTACTAATGTTTACTTACATCTTTGTGTGATAGTGTGTGTTTTTAATGGTCGTTACGGGCGACTGCTCCTGCAGCTACACACCAGATAGTACAAAAGTATAGTGATTGCACAGATATGGCTTTTTCTGTCCTTGGCCTATGTTTGTGTACGAGCAGATGAGCGGGAATATAAAGTGTGCTCTATGGTTCATGTATTTATGCTGTAAAATATATATAAAGCCGTTCCTGGCAGGGACACTGTCACCTAATTTGAGCTAATAGGCATGTGGCGGGTTCGACTGCCACCATCTGGCAACAAGGCTAAACCCAGCCTAAGCAGCATAACGAAGGGACCTGGCAACGCTATACCTACCCAAAACCACCATGGAAACGCATCCTGCTCCTTTGAGGATGTGGTGACAGAATTCAAGGTATCAGAGTTTGAGATGAGCTTGCGATGGTTTTAGAAAATGTTATTTCGGTTCATCTGCTTGTTTCCCAGACAGGGTTCAAGGATTTGTATTGTGCGCCTGCCTGATTTTTTTAGTTGAGCCAGAAAGGGGATATCTGCATTTCATGAGCTAATGAATCCCCTACATTATCATTCATTAACATTTCCCCACGATTATGCGGCTGCAAAGCACTGTTACCGTTCTCACAGAAGGCCAGTGTCGAGCGAAGCAAGGTTTGATAGTAATACTAGGTTTCTGAACAACAATACAAGTGTCAGTATTGTTGAATATAAGCTTCAATAAGTTCATGTATGAGGGGCAATGTTTAAAGTTGCATGACATTTTTTGGGCCACATTAGAGCAGCAAAACAATCTAAATACATAACATATTACATAATAAAAAGTTGTTGACACATTTACAGTCATTTGAGCTCCGTTTTGATCCGTGCCAACCTCTGAGAAAATAAATATCTGGGTCTCTAGCTGCTGGAAGCTCCGTAATGTTCACCAGACCACACACTTTGCCTGCCTGCCTTTTGGTGCCAGGCAGTAAAGCATACAATGGGTTCATTAAAGCTTTCTCACTTAAAATAATGTCCTGCTGCAGCTGAAAAACGGGGTTGATAAGGTGGTTTTAATACAGGAGAGTTTTAAAACTTCAGAGTTTACAGATAATTTGTTGTGGGATTCGTCAAAACGAGCAACATCTTGCACATAACCCACAGCCATCTCATCCAGTGTCAATATAAAATATTTAGTGCAGCTTTAACATATAAATTGGAGCAACTATATCCTAGAAAACCCTAAAAACATCACAAGATCATTTTCATTTCACCTCTGCCTCTTAAACTCAAATCAACCAACATGATGCAATGAAACCCTCGCTGAAACAACTGGAATTCAACACACAAATATTAAGTCAACTAATAATAATAGACACAAAAACAATTATCTAAACTGTATATGTGTGGAGTCTAATGACAACCTTGCATTATACCGAATTTTGGTGAGTGGCATTCCATCAAAAATCTATTATGTCAAACACTGCATTATATCACAATTTTCAAATCATATTATTTTCTGTTCTGACACCATGTTATGTCTTTTTACAAGTCAGCATGGTTCACTGCAGCTTTAACAATGAGGACTACTTCCAGGGAGACCAATTACAACAGATTTGGCTCTTGTCTATGGCGTCCAAAAGTGATAATCATCTTGAAAACAGCACAGCAGTGAAAGTTTGTTAAGAACATCTACACAGAGCCTGAGTACTAAAGGATTGAGGGGGGTATAATGGTATAATCAGAACAGAACAGAACATAATGTAACACTACCGGCGCCCATAAAGCTCCAAACCCCTTGATATCCAAGTGATGACAAAGAAAAGAAAACTCCCAGAGAGGCTCAAAGTACAACCACTAACTGTCCTTTTCCTGCCTGTAACATCCCATTAGCTCTAAAAGCACCCGACTGTGAGCATTGCGATCAGAGGGAAAGGTCAGTCATTGTGCCCCGGACAAAAGAGAAGCCTCCTGCTGTGTTATTGTGGATGTGACACTCGGACAGGTAATGTGCTTCAGTTGCCCCCCTGTCAGCCGGATTGGCTCATAGTCTTCAATCACCTCCTGGAAACTGCTCCTGAAGTTTCCTGGCTCGGGTTTTTTTCCTTGTTCAGCCGGCCTCTCTCCCCGGGCTCAGTAAAGGTCAGCAGGTAGTGCAGAACGGGTACTTACAACAAGGGTAATTGAGCAGCACAATGTCGTCCAAGGCGATGTAGCCCTGTCGTTCTTCGGAAATGGTCCCTTCAAAGATGACCTGTGGAGACAATGGATAAATTAAATGACTGCAGAACATTACATCTTGAGTGGCAGGTAGACTGACAATATAGGAAATTAGGAGGATGGGGTCCAAAGGCCTGTCACGAACCGACATGAACAGATTCTTCCATTAGTTCCACCGTACATTTAAAAGAAAGCTCAGTTGTAAAACTTACTATTGCCATTAAAATGGTAATCTGGAGAGTTTCTTGTATTTTTGGTCCAGTTTTACTTTTACAGCAACAAAAGAATATATTTGCAAAAGCCCCTCAGAATCCAAAAACAAGACATCTTTAAAGCCACTATTTTGTAATATAAAGCTAAAGGTTAAACAGGAGGAAAAAAATGAAATGGCACGGATGCCAAGATCTGCACCAACACTGGCCTGAACTGATCCGAATGCAAGGCACCTGACAGTTTGTGGTTTCAGTTGAGTGAAGGTAAATCGTATCAGTAGGCGTCTAGATTTGCATGTTCTTTTCTGCAAAATGCACATTAGTTAGCTCTCAGTTAGTGACTATTGATTGTACACTTCTTGCTAAGATGACTTTAGGGATATTTTGAGTATATACTGTAATAAATCTTACTATCACAGCTCAGACATGTTCTACAGCATTAGGTTAAGTGTTAGGCTCATCATTTCAATTGCAATCAATTTGCTTTTTTTCCCCCCTTAGGCTGGTGGACAAGGCTTATCAAATAACTCGGAGAGTAAGTGTGTTGAGAGTTTATTCTAAGCATCTTTGGTGCATTATTTTATTGACCTTGCAGTGTTTGATGGGCATGCAGTCAACATGATTTCAAAAGCAATTAGACCACAAGATACTAAAAGTCTCCACTGAAATCAATAGTACAAATGCAACTGTCTCTAGCCACCTGCAGTAGCTTAGTCCGTTGGGACTTGCCAGGACGGTCGCCAGTTCAGGTCCCAGCACGGACCAGCACGGACCAGCTCGGGGTGGGGACTGGTAGCTGGAGAGGTGCCAGTTCGCCTCTGAGGTGCCTTTGAGCACCGAACCTCTAAACTGCTCCCCGGGCGCTGTAGATTAGCTGCCCCCTTTTAAATACTAGGACGGGGTAAATAAACTGTGTAATGTGCTGTCTGACAATAAAAGTTGATTTACCGATTTACATGTACACTTACAGATTTGAAGACTGGAGAAGTGACAGGATACCATTATGAATTGAACCCCAGTGCACAGAGCTGTCACTCTGATTCAAAGACACTCAGCAGTGAAATGTGGAGCGAAGCATAGCAATCTGTTCAGCTTGTACGTCATTGTTCAATTACACATGTCCAACAATACATATTGCAACGTACTGTAAACAACAACAAAAAACAACAACACATAAGCTAAAAAGACAACAAAGTACTTGTGGTTACATGCTCATTGGTAAACAAGCCTGAAAACTAAAATCATAAAAGGGAACAACAACCTGCTACTTTAGAATCCATAGGTGAGAGTTCACTTTTGAAGCACTTGTAAATGGCAAAAGAAAAACGTGTAAATGTTAAAACAAACTAAAAAAATGCGTTTAGTCTTCAAGTCCCAGCTCACCAAGCCATATAGTGCAAAAAACATGAATAAATCCCTCTTGTAACCCTTTTATCAATCCATACGGCAGCAGCAGAAGTCCTTAAACGCAGCCTAAATATTCACTTTGTCATCTAAATGAGCCGGGAGCATGCAGAGCCTCAAAGTGAATCGGGAGGCCTCCCAGAGTGCGACAAAGTCATTCTGGGTTTCCGAGTAGTAATTACAGTCAGCAGAGCCTAAATCAAGACACTCTTCACTTATAACGGCTGCAGCATGACAAACTCTGAACTTAAGGGTTGAGTGCATTAACAACTGGTTAGATGAAAGCTGTGACTACATTTTGTGTGTGTGTGTGTGTGTGTGTGTGTGGCAGCTACTGTTTAGCCCACACTTACTACGTGTACTTATCTATGCCAAAGTCCAGTGGAAGCCAGACTGTGACTCTGACGGGCAATAGATTGCGATGTTGACAATGCATCAGGCTTTAAGTGCCAAGGGCCAATCAATACCACAAAAAGGCCTTGGCAGATGGATACACACTAAGGCTTTCTTTCCACTCATTTATTTTTTTATTTTTTATTCCTATGTCGGGCCATTAGAGACGTCAGACCGATTAACTCTTCAATACATCACGCGTCAACGCACCGACCACCATTGATTCCCTCAGCCTCGCGCTTTGAGCAATCATTAAGCTCCTCTGCATCTGCCCTCACTTAAAAGAAAAGTGCTTGAGTATGACTGTGCCAGACATCGACGCACTTGGCATCCGATAGCTGCGCACAAACACCAGATATTATGCAAATGGGTAAAGCAGGATCCCCTTCTACTTTGCACATAGAACGCAGGGCAGTGGAAATGAAACGATTTGCTGAATGTTTGAGGAGCGCAGTGGAGCCGGTGATGGAGACGGTACGGTGGCCCTGAGAGCTCAATGCTCTGCAGAAAACACGGAGCAAATAGATAAAACCTTCACCAATTTAACACATATATAACGTATCTAAACTCACTGCAAATAAAAGGCAACAAAGCCAAACAGACAACACAACCAAATGATAAAAAGTTGCCGCAAATACAGACAACACAAGCAAGTTTCTGTATTTGGTTGTTTGGCGGTTCTGTATGTATTTGCAATACATTTCAGTCTTTGGTTGTGTTGTATGTATTTGTAGCGTGTTCGTGCTGTATTTGCAACTTGTTTCTTTATTTGATTGTGTTTTCTGTATTTCCAGTGTAATTTTGTATTTGGTTGTTTTGTCTGTATTTTGCTGTGTTGTCTGTGTTTTCTGTAGTTGCAGCAGTTCTTTATATTTGGCTGTGTTTTTATGTATTTGGCTTTGTTTTCTGTCTCCATATTCTTCATACATTCCTGGATGTTGGGCTGTCAGGGCCGCCGTAGCAAGGAGATATAAAAAGATGTACGGAGAAAAAAATCAGTGCAGGGAAAGGCAGTGGGAGAAACACATGACATAGGAGGAGGAGATTGAAAGTAGATGGGGGGGGGGGGAGACCTTAAGCCACACTGATATTGTTTGTCGTGACGGGGCCTGATAGCATCTTTAATATTTGATAGCAAAGTTTCACCCTTTTCCAGTACTCTCACAACTAGGCACGGAGGAAAATCGATTTCTGCAAAGACTATAAGAGATAGATTTGTCCAATTGAGAGTATCCAGTTGAAGGCGATGTCATTCTCCAGCTTTTCTCAGCCTCTCTCAGGCTTTTGTTGTGATGAGCAACAACAAAAAAAAGAAGAGGCCTGTAACACTGCAAAGGCACAATCTGTGAAGTGTGAACCAAGGTTTGGTTTACTGCAAGCAGCAGGGTGCCATCTCCCAGGGTGTCATCGTCAGCGACCAAAGGAAATGACACGAGAAACAAATTTGAATCCGGAAAAAAGAGTTTTGGCACAAGAACAGCGGTGTAGACAGTTTGAGGAGACGAACGCAGCTGGACAGTCACATGTGATGTTAAAAAGCATGCAAGCATGTTAATATGCGCCTCCTGCTGTGTCGTGTTTGGCTCATAAAATTCAATGCCGCAGAATTGATAGTGTAGCATAACAAAAAATCCATAGTACAAACCAGGAGGCCTCTCAGTGAATACATAAAACCAGTGGTGGCAGTAAAAGGTATTCCATTAAAAATAAGATTTGAACAGTAATTAAATATGTTTAACTTTTGGTTTTCATCATAGCGCTGCAGAAATTATTTATGCGTTTGCATTAATGATAAAGCTCTCAGTTGATTTGTGGACATCATCAATCTCCGAGACGACTTTGATTGTTCTGTTAATTTCTCCAGCTAGCGTGAGGCCAACACTATTGATCCCTATCGACAATGTGGCAGTGAAACATTGAAATGTACGACGTGCAATTGGACCTGCCATCTTGTCTCTGCAGGCGGAAGAAATAAAGTGAGGTATACAATAGCTCCACTGCAGCGTGCTGTGTGTGTGATTGTGTGTGTGTGGGGGGGCTTTGCATAACTATCAACAGTGGTGGGACCCAGCATTGTTACACATTCACCAACAGTGGACTGGCAGGTGAGCAGGGGCCATTTTAGATGTCCACTGTTGGTCATGTTTTAATCATGCCAACATCATGGCATCATGGGGGTATCTAACAGGCTATACCGGAAGAATCACACTACTTGAAGATGATTTTTTTATTATTTCTTTGTTTAAAAAGAAGGCTCAACTTAAGTGCATATACTCATTAGTTTCTCACTAGATGTGTTAAAATGGAGGGCTAACAAGAAGGCAGGGGATTGCAAGTACTCTGAAATCAAAAAAAGAAAAACATGAACAAATAAAAGGGTCAGCAGTAAAATCACTCTTTTCATTCAAATGAACCACTCAAAACACGTCTCACATCAGACTTTAACTAGACCTTTAAAATTGTTTCAGTCCCAAAACAACTTCCCCGACCCGTTGTCACAGGAACATGATTTCTATCAATTGCATCCACAATCTGCTTGTATAGGAATTCAATTTGTTTGTTGATGCACGAAACTAAAAAAGGTCCGCTCTTCTACTACGCAGATTAACTGATCCCTTGTATGAAACAATTGCCCTCTAAGAAAGCATGGAGCGACATTTACACTCAAGCATGGAAACTAAAAACAAGAAATGAAGTATTCTTACAAGAGAATAATAATGTAAATGCAGTGACGTAGTTTTGTGGCAATGATTATGAAATTTCTGCCAAATACATTTGTAGACTAGCAGTTAATTAAGAGGCGAAAGTGCATTGAGTAGCTGCTATTGAGCCTCATCTGGATGATAAACAGCAGAAAAAAATACATTTTCTAGTGTATAGTGTACAAAATGTGAAGATTTACATTCAAGTCACAGATTGGAAACCCACACCTCAAACTTCTTTATATCCATGGAGTGTATCGGACCTGGTAGGTTGCTCACCTCTCTGTGACTACATGTCAACAGCAGCAAGCCAGTAATCGAAGCAGGGACTGTGGGGGGAGCCAATTTACTCACCTCTATTTTCCCTGTTTAACCATTCTGGATCCCTCTGCACGGCATGCACACACACTAAACAGTGAGGCTGATGTCAATTAGATGAAAATTGCACTGAATTACCTGCATGCTAGTTTCCTGTGAACCCCTTGTGGTTAGGTAGGCAATCTGAACGCAGGGCAGGAATGGCGGACCCCCGCGACCGCGAATAAAAAGTACTTTTTAGAGATGTAATTACTGGATGTAAATACATCAAAAGAAAATATGCTCACCATATATAGTACCAAAAAATGGGATTGATTCTATGAATTTTCATGAATTACAACTTTAAAATCCAAAATGTCCTGACCTTGCTGTGGTCCTTGCTGGTGGTACTTTCCCTTGTGACTAAAGCTAATAGGTTTATCGAACCTTATTTTTGCAACACTGCTTCACTGCCTGGGTGAAGGAAGGTGACGGGTTAAGAAAAAAACATTACAATAGGTAAGCAAAAGAGAGAGAGAGAGAGAGAGAGAGAGAGAGAGAGAGAGAGGGGAAAGATAAGAGAGAAGGGGACCTAATGGCGAGATGCACTGGGAATTAAGATGGTGGGATAAGGAGGACAAAACGGCCAGGGAGTGAAGCCTGGAATAAAAAACAAAATACATTTTAAAGGAGAGGAGCCAGCGTTTCCAAAAGAGCACCTCTTTAACACCTATTTTACTTCCCAAATCCAGGCTGACAGGGAGAGAGTGAACCAGTCTGATCAATGTTCTCTTCTGTCCTTCAATGCCATGACTATCTAAAGTCCAATTTCCAAGAAAAAAAGAATCTTCAAGTCAAGCAGTGTCTGATCCACAAGGGTTAGATGGCGAGGTCATGAACTCAGCCAGATGACACATGCATGGAATCAGATTGTCAGCCAGTACAAGTTTAAGCAACGGTATACTGAAGATATCAGTGCTATTAAACTCTCTAAAGAAGAAATGATATTGGTTGCATTATGGAAAAAGTAGGATTTAGCGTTTTGAGGGTTTGAGTCAGGATATCTACCTTCTTCTTATTTTTTTATCGGTCTCTTGTGAGTTTCCCAACTTTATGGAAGTGCATTAATAAATCGTTAACGTTCCCTTTTAATGGCTAAATGGAAGAATTTGACAGTGTGCCAAAACTTCTCTATTCCTTTACACTGTTGACAGGCGAAGCAGTTCCAACCGTAATGAATGGGATGAACCAGAAAAGGTTCTAATTTATAGCACAAAATGCACCTTCAACAATGGCCATTTGAAACCCAGAAATATTGGCATTGAATTTTGAAATCTCATATCAGTAAAAGCAAAATGCAAAGGTTGATCACAGTCCAACATATCTCTGAGGCAGTCTGTCTTTCCTGAGGGTGTTGATGCTCGCTGATCACTAGATATTGTTTTTTCTATTTAATCTCAATCGCCACTACCACCAGCAGCCACACACCAACACACACACACACACACACACACACACACACACACACACACTTTCTCCTCCAAGCCCTCTGAAGTGGTAGTCTTTTCTCTCTAGGTGGAGCTGCTCCTCTGCGGCCTGCAGGGGCTGATCTGTTGGCTGGGAGTGCTGGACAGTGATTGTTATCGATGGATGAGTGGAGCCCTGTGGGGCCTACGCTGAGCTTTGAGTAGTAGCAGCAGGAGCTGCTGAGGAGAGAAGGAGCTTTCCCTGGGCAAAAAAGGAAGAGGGGAACACAAAAAGAAAAACAAAAGGCACCGCGCCTGACTCCAAGCCTCACTCCCGTCCCTCTCCGCACAGCAGATTGACATACTTTGTTCCTGCAGGCTTATGTTTAAGGCTCCTCACTCATCTGCACAGCTTTACGTGCTTCATTATGTGCTGCCGATCAGCCAGGTTTATAAGACAAATAAAGCAATCTGTTCTGTGTCTACACTCCGGGCGGGAAGACTTTAGAGAACAGCGCCTGCTCATCACTCAGGCAGCTTGGACATACATCACCAGAGTAGTAGATGACATTGCTTATGCACGCCTGTCCAAATGGTAAACACTGCGGCGCAAAGCAAATTCCCCGCACGGGCTGTCTTGTCTGATTGTACACCTCCCCCAACCCCCCCCCTCTGAGAGCGCCCGCCCCCTGCCTCCACCTCCTCCTCTGCTATGGTGCGCGGCAGACAAACTTCCAACATCCACACAGACGAGAAGAAAAATCATTACTTTAAATCAGTTTGGCTATTTGTGAGAGTCGCTCAGGACAGGAGAGCTGAGGATGGTGAAGCGCAAGCTGTCCTCATTGATCTGTGCAGCCCTCTAATCTCATTAACTGGCTCTTGATTTATTGAGATGGGGCCCAGAGTGCGCCAAGGTTATGGAAGCAAACACCAGGCCCGCTCCCCCGCACCGAGGGTCGCATGGAATTGAGGTCAATTGACTGTTCGGCGGACCCACGCTCCCACAATCCCTTACGCCAGCCACTGCCTTCTCATTAACGTCTGTTCTGTGGTGGGGCAGGGGGGTTGTAGGAGGCAGCAGACTTAGTGGGAAGAAAGAGAGCGTTAGGGAATAAATTATTGCCCGTAATGAGGTGAGGCAGGGCTGCATCCAGTCATCAGAATCTTACAAGCTACACAACAGTGCTAATAATGCAGCATCGACAATACAGGCTTCAAACGGAGCTATTGATTACACTGCAGGACGCAGGTAAATTGACTAATAAATAAAGATACAATGCAAACAGTCGCCCACTGTAATTATACACCTATTGAGCAACTATGATATACGACACAGATGCAATTAGCTAATTTTTGCATGTGGTTTGAAGGATAGGGGATGATAATACAGCTGCTGAGGCCGCCAGTATAGCCACGGTTCTGTACTGAGACCACTGAGCAGCTCAGTGGAGCAGCTGGTGGTTTAGTGCCTTGCTAACTGACACCTCACGTTTATTTAATAAAGGGGGCAATGATCTACAAGGGCTGACATCATAATCATGATATTTCATTTGTCCAATATCAATACACATCAGGTCAAAATTAGCCGACAAGACAAGAATCCATGCTAGCGGCTTTGTGAGACTGGACTTCAGCACAGAGATAGTTTAAGCTAAATGCTAACAATAGCATGTGAACACGCTCAGAATGCTAATGCTAGCGAGCAGTGTAATGTTTCTCATAAGTTATATTCCCTGTCTTAGTTCAGGTGCAGTTAGTTTAGTTATGCTATATGTTAGCATGCTAACAAAAAAACAAAAACACGCTCATTTAGTTCAGCTACAATTTTACAAAACAACGGCATGACATGATGATTTCATCCCAATGCATCCTAACGCATCATATCACAAGTAGACTAACTGATGAAGCCGTTTACCATTTAATACATCATCACAATTTGGCAGAACCCACTCTCATGTCTTATTCAGCCTGAGTTCCATATCAAATATAGTAATTTCATATTGATAAGAAATGAAGCTGTGACGGATAAGAAAATCCTTTGTAAGTATCCATTTGTGAAGCTGTAACTGTGTGTGATTATTTATGTCGATAAACCAATAAAGTAACGAATCCGTTATCGATATGACAATCATTTGTCTGTCAATCAACTCATTACTTAGCTATCAGTTTACTAATATTGTCAGCAACAGCTGATAGGATGGTATTGGATTTTTGAAGGGCAACTCCAGAAATTAATTTTGCACTTCCATAAAGTTGGGAACTCACAAGAAACAGATAAAAAAAAGATCGAAGCAGCAGTGATATCCTGACTTTTAGTCCCTAGTATTGGTTAAGCTCCAAAACCAATAGATCCTACACTTCCCATAATTCAACTCTGTAGCATCTTTCCTTAGATCCTTCCTTAATCCCTACGTCTGTCAAATTTGATACCCCTAGTTTAAAAGTTATTCTTTTAAAACTTCAGAAAGAAAAAGTTAGAAAGTTCCCCTCCAGAAGACAATTTTACAAGCTAAGCAGTCCTCTCCATGAAAAGCAAACTGATCTGTGGTGTGCTCCATTAACTACAAGTGACAGTGCTCCGGTGTTTATGTCAAATTCACATATATTGGACAGAAGAAGAACAGCACTTCAAGTTTAAAATGGCTTGGAGCTACAAATGTTCTTTCTCTTCTATGTAACAAAAATGAATCTCAAATAATGGGAGCATTTGACAGCTTTTTTGCTTTTTTAGAGATACAGTTAAACAATGTTGGACTCTGGACAAAATGTGGTGGGTATCTGTGGGTTTTTACGCTGTTGTTTGATTTTGTAAATCTGTAATTACCCTCTAGCATAGAGCAGCATTTATAGAAGACAACAGTGTGTTCTCACTTCAGCACATCATGTCGTAGGTCGTCATCACTCGTAAAAAGCTGAGAAAATAGGTTTTCAGATCCCACATATCTCCACCAATATGACTTATATATATGAAAACATAACTACTCCAACCTTGGTGTTGGTGGGGGTAATCAATGCAGGTCCTATATTTGTTTAACTCTCACCTGGTATTCACTGGGCCAGAAAGTGCTGACAGCGAGCTCCACCTGGTGCCACTGGCGTCCCTGGGAGCCCGAGATATTCCACACAGCGCTGCCCTTGGGGCCCCCGTTAACCCGGATGTAGACCTGCAGGTCCCCGGGGCTGTGGCCGTCGCGGCTGTACAGGAAGTAGCTGAACTGGATGCAGTGGGTGTCGTTCTCGCTGAGGGGGAGCAGGAGCAGCTGAGCTCGCTGGCCCCCGAAATGCTGCGAGGAGTTGACCACCATGAAGGACCCTGGAGGGGAAGACGGAAGATAAGGACACGTTAGACGACTGTATGTGCACATATCAAATACTGCTCATTTTACATTTCAGTTATTATTGGCAGTCTCTCAAAGGCAGCTTACTGAGAGCAACTTGAACAGGTAAAGAGCAGTGTGAAAGTTTAGTGTGAATAAAACACAACGACCTTGCCAGGGTACTTCCATACACACTTCATAAATAGCAGGAATTTCAGCATCTTCACCTGCCAGATAAGTGCTGATTGACCTGAAGTATAAGAAAATAACAAGATACAACTCTTTGGGCTTCAACTGTAACACAACCCAGGATAGATATGTCATGTTAGTTTTCACCCGCTGAAGAACGGCTGCCTCTTTTTTTTATTTTTAAACCCCTAAAATGAGTCTGAGAGCCAAGGTTGACAGGCTCAAGGTTGTTACCCAGAATATCTGTGTGATCCTCTCTGGCTATTTGTCCGTATTTGGTCAGTCTCTGCTTCTTCCTGCTTTCACAAGGCTTCCATCAGTTTTGCCGCGCTGCCTCAGATCTGGCGTGTTCAAAGCCGCAGCGCTGAGTGTCAGATTGGCCTTTCATTTTGGACTGAGGTTCATAGAGTCACTGCTGGCTCTCTCATCCCGGCAGCACAGCAGAGATCCCGTGGCGTGAGAGGAGCACCACAATGGACGGGAGGGGGAATGGGGGGGCTTTGCCTTTGACTGCGGCCTTCACAGTAATGGGGAAGCTCAATTTAAAGTGAAAAACAAAAACTGAAAAAAATGACTTTGTAAGCACATTTGTAGTCTAGGCCACAAGTCGATGCCTTTTCACCTCTAAAAATAACACATCATGTCTCTAAATAAAATGTAAATTGTAATACATCCTGAAAACCATCAGGAATAAAAGTTGCACCTTTAAAACTATTAGTCACATATCATAAAATGTGAGATGTCCATGTCTTTTTTTTTTTTCACCCCTTATGTCAAATGTAGGTTTTATTTCCTCATTAAAATCAATGTTTTTGTGACTCTAGATTACGAGCCAGACATGGACTGTGCAAAACAACAAACACAGGGATCAGGCCACCCAGCGTTTATGTATTTTTAGATGGTCGCTATCTCAAACCAAGTGGCCCTGCCATGACTCGGCCCAAAGAGAGGTCAGACCAATCGTACTTCTTACAGCCTGTCTGATGTGCAAAGGTTTGAGAGCAGGAGAATCGGAAGCATCAGGCAATGTCACACTCGGCAAGAAAAGGCAAAAGAAAATAAAAGTCGGACATGCTCGTCATTCTAATAGGGCCTTGTGAGAAGGCCAGATCCTCCAACTGGAACTTGGTGCTAGAGGGAAAAAAAACTTCTAAGGACTCTGTAGCACTGAACACGCTCCTAGTTATTTGTTTGGGAGAGATGCAGTGGCAATTGTTTTCACCAGATCTAACTCTTACTCCTGGGTAGGCTGAATACACTGCATACAGTATAAATCCACATTTGGAGAAAAACATCAAGCCAAATGAATGTAATGCAAAGTCTACACACGATAAAATATAAAAAATGTATATATACTACATATATACATATATACTAAACTCAAGAAAAGATTATTCCTTTCTTCCAGAGAATGTTTTAACATCATAGCGTCTGAATTGTTTTCACTGCTCATAACTATTACCTGGTTTTAATCTGGTTTTAATAAGCGCATACAAAATGCCACTGTTTTCTCATTAGACAATGTTCAAAATCAAAGGAGGAAGTACTTTTGTATGCCCTTCTATGTGGTGGCTTGGGAAATAAGTCAGGAAAACAGAGACTCATCACAGACCTTTTACAATTTGCATTTGCCTTTTATTATTCTGTTTGCCTTTTATTGTTTCAGTCACCTTACCCTAACTCTGAAAGAGAAACACTACTCAAACAGACGTTATCGCAACAACACAAATGCCAGAAAGGGGAATAAAAAGCTGATAAATGTTTTACGATCAGCTGAGGTGGCAAAAATTTGTGAATATATAAATAGAAGATGAAAAGAGATGCGATAAAAGCTGACGGAATCCGACACACCCCAAACTTGTTCCAGGTCTAGCCCGTCTCCTTTTCCATAACTGCTATTAAAAAAAAAACACATGATACAAGTGGTTTAGAAGAAATATATTCATTTATGAAAAAGACACAAATGCTGCAAAAGAAGATATCTCTACTGGTGCATGATGTATTTTGTAATCTTGTCACGACCTCTCATATTCAGATGATGGACACACAATGAATCAGTTATTTTACCAAAATTTCAGAAATTCCCTTGCGCAACATTTTAAATGAATAAAAGTCCTAAAAGTTTGAAATAAAGCTCCAGAAACGTTGAAGGTTGAGTGGATAGAATATTCATTATCCATGTGATCCCTCTTTAACTTTGGGTATTTAGAAGAAAACGGTTCCCTGAAACAAAGTTAAAATCCGCTGCCTTGAGTGATTTCTGCTTTTCTCATCACCAGCATCACTCAAATCATCCATTCAGAACTTCTGCTCTCAAAATATATGTTTTTCTTAGTAACTTCATGAATAAATGTTCAACAGGGTTGAAGATAAACACAAGGAGACAAAAGGACGGGCAGTAAGCTGTCTGTGTTTATTACCTTGGACTGGTTAAAGTGGCCTTGGGGATCACGTGGTTCTCCTCCCTAACTTCTAATCTTCCAATCATCATCAACATCACATCGACTCTTTGATGCCAGCAGGAGAGAGTGCTAATTGCGCTCATAACCTTCACATTCGGTGCTGTCGGCGCGAGGTGGCCGCGGTGGACGAGCGAAAGCAGTGGGATCGTGGGTAGTGTAGTTTTGCCTTCGTACTCCAGTTGAGCAAGAGCGCAATCAGAGCCCTGCCTCCTGCCATTAATCACACTGACACCGGTATTAAGCCATAATGGCAACCGAGGGAATGCTTAAACCAGAGAGATGGCTGTAATACGCACACACTGACATGCAGGACACATATTAACGCGCACACACTCTCCTGTCTCTCTCTCACACACACACACACACACACAGTTCACAGGCCCAAAAGCAGACTCCGATCCAAGTCCTGTTGACCTTCCCTAGAGAAAGAACTGGCTTCCTCTTTTTAACCTCCCCCGTCATTCCTCTTCCTCAATTCATTTCCTCTGCCTCCTTTTTCACTTCCGCTTCTTTCATCTCCTAATCCTTCACCTCCACCAGCTCCTTTTCATCCAAATTCTGTGAAATGTAAACATACCTAAACAAGCATAAATATCATGTTGTTTCACTCACACACAAAAGGTTCGCCATCTGTTTTTCTGCTGTCAAGTAAAGGCAAAAACCAGGGAAAAATATCCGTGAGGATATTTCATTAATGGGTGGAGTCATTTTTGTATAAGAAACAGTCCAGTAAATAATTCCCGCTGTTATTTTAGATGTGTGTTTCTTCTGAGTGCAGCTCGTTATTGAGGCAAAGCGTTATCAAGTGGTTTTTAAAGCCTCAGCAGTGATAAAGTTGCATAATTTAGTTTTCAAAAGTCACCTGGAGTCTGGTTTACTGTCTGGCTTGGAGTGTGCCTTGTTTGCTTGGTCAGAGTGACAGGAGGAAGAAGAAAAGCAACAAAAAACAAACATAATTCAGGTCAGGCCCACGGACAACCTGCACATAAAGAGCTTTAAAATGCATGTCACACAAAGCCACCCTGACCACTCTCTGCTCCCTCCCTCGGCTCCGTCTTCCCTGCACCAAAAGTACAGATGGGATGTTAAACTGCCAGAAACATCCTGTGATAACAAGCCGCTGCTGTCCTTTGAGATCTCGCTGTATTCTTGGACATCGCTGATATTTTCCTCTCCGTCACCTGCTCGTGAGACGAAGCCGGGCAGGCTCTGGCTTAGTCCCCCCCCCCCACCCCCACACCTCCCACAAAACCATCACCGCCGCTGCTACTTTGATGTGCAAGCTCTCGGGGGGGCTCTGTGGCTAAATTGCTTTTTCTTCAGCTACGAGAGCTGGACCCCCTCATTGTTGTAGGGCAAGTCTCCAACTGTTCTTATGACAGGACTGCACTGGGGAACAAATGAGGGGGAGACAGTGAAGACGCATTCTGTAGCCTCAGCTACAGCAATGCTGGTTTTCTCATTATATTCAAATATCTTTATGCAACTGTGGTAAACCAAATATAGACATTGCCTCTACAGTATCTCTGTTATTGTGCGCTCCCGTCTGCGTTTTGTTTCAGCTGAAGCCACCTGGTGGTCGTAAGACAGGAGAACAAGCCAGTAAACTGCTTTGTGTAAGAAGATGTAAAGCCGCTATGAAATGGCGTCTTTAGCTTCTCAACTTGATGCAAGCTTTTTTGAGATGAGTCAAGCCTGCTCATAATTGATCACTGTCGATCACCACAACAATGCATTGCCAGCAAGATTTATCTGTGACTTGCTGTGACGCCACACTGACACCAGCAACGATAGCCGCGTGAGACTGCAGGTTTAAGATCCAGGTACAGCAATACCTCTTTGCATGATGGGAAACTCTCACGCCACGGATCTAAGAGCTCAGAAGTTTGTGTCACTAACAATATTCTATACAAACTCTTCATGTTCTGAGTTTATTAGTCTTATTTATAAGCTCTCTGTAAACAGTGAGAGTGAATAAGGAATTTAATCTTTTAATCTGCAGATTATTTTCTCGATTAATCAATTAATCATTTGGTCTAAGAAACGTCAGTAAACAGTGAAAATGCCCATCGCAATATTCCAGAGCACAAGGTGACATCACTAATTGTCTCGAGTCTAAAACACAAAAAATTTTAAATTTACTACATTAAATCCAATACGAGTTTTCTGAAATCCTAGCTTCATGAAGGTTATGATTATTTTGTGCAACCTTTTCATTTCAATGGTAAAATAAAAGGAAACACCTCTCCGTATAATGCAACAGAGTCATGGCTCATGTGTTAGCAACTAGTTGCCCATCTCCACATCCAGAAGACACAGAGCAATATGAATTGAATGGATATAAT